CATGAATGATTGATAAGAGCTGAGAGCTGTTTAATTTTTTCCCCCTGTTTAATGGCTATCAATAATTTAATACGCTCTCTGTATGTTTTTAAGAAATAGCACCCATTTTGCCGTCTCCGGTTTAGCGGGCTAAATGATTTAAATGTTGGAAACGGGCTCTGAGGACGGAGGTTGAGCGAGTCAGAGGGATCTGGAGGCTGGGGGTGGGGGGAGGCAGGTTCAGAGCCAGCTGGGGGTCTGTGGCCTGGGTGTGTGTGTGTGTGTGTGTGTGTGTGAAGGGGGAGGGAGGGAGGAGGGAGGGGCGGGTAAAAGCCAGCGCCTCGCTGCTAAGAGCAAGATAATTGCTTTTCCGGGTCTCACTGAGCAGCAGCTGAACAGCTGTCCGCTCACCGCCCCCACCTCCAGTGCCGAGCTTTTCTGGATGACTCGGGGGGGCCCAGGGGGGCTAGGAAGGAGCTCCAGTTAGCACTGCTGGGGGCTGAGAACCCCCCTCCCCTGACATCTTTGGCCCCTTCTAAAGCTTTTAAATCATTTTTCTTTTAATGATGCAGTTATTCTCTTGCCAGCCTTATCTTCCAGATGGGGTAGGGCTGGTGTTGGAGTGCGCAACTCGGAATCGCTAATCTCGGGGCCCAAGGGGACCAGGAAGGTCATCTGCCAGTGCTCCCCCAAACTTTCCAGATGCAAAGGATTCCCTGGGAGGACTTGTTAAAAATTTAAATGCCTGGGCTGCATTCCAGACCCACAGCCTTCCATTCTCAAGGGAGAGGCCTGGGGACACTGTGGGTTTACCAGGCAGCCCAGGTGATTCTTATCGGCAGAGGAGGTTGGGAAATGTCGAGTTCAGCTCTAGTTCCGGTGCTCAGAGCACGCACAGCACCACGTGGCCACTCCCACTGCTTGCACACCTCCGGGGACAGGGCACTCACCCCTCTGGGGAGACAGCACATGCACCTGTGGAAAGTGTCCTCAGTCCAGGGGCCCCTCCAACATTAGGCTGGTCCCACTCAGGCTGTCCTCATGTGTGTGGAGTTACCTCTGCCACAGGCAGACCACCTCTCCTAGGACCTCTCCCATTCTGGCTGTCCTCCGGCTTATCTGTGCCTCTCTGTTGGGCAAGGAGCTTCCTTTCCTAGAAAAGCACTCCGGGTACCAGAGAAAATGTCCCAGGGATAGCCCAGACATGGGGGTGGGGAGGGAGTGGGCAGACACCATACCTGGCACAGCAGGGACCTGGAGGGAGGCAGAAAGAGACCAGGGCTTCAGAACCGCCTTGGCCTGTCAGGGGCCAGGCCTCCCGTGGGAGAGAAAAATGTGACTCATCAGAGATTGTTGACTAAGCCAGATCTCTGGGATGACAGCGAGGGATCTGAGACCAGAAGAAACTCCCCCAAGGTCACACATCCGTTAAGAACAGAGCTGGGACTGCAAAGATGGGGCGGGGGTTCAGAGAGGGGCATCAAGGATTGAGGCCCTGGCGCTGGGGTCCACTGAGACCCCAGGCATCTCCAGGCTGGGAGCCAGAACAGGGGAGGGCTCTCCTTCTCACTAGGCGCTCGCTGATAGAGACAAGTCAGTACATCCAAGGATCTGTAGCAGAGCCGAGGCCCCATCTGTCTGGCATTACAGCTCGTCCTCCGCTTTGCCTGGTCTTTTGCATTGTTTCTGCAGAGAGACAGCACTGACTGCATGTCAGCCTTGCTCTTTTATTTTAATAGATCATTAAGAGGGAAGGAGTGGTACACATTTCACAGGTGTCATTATGTACTGCAAAACAGGGCACCCCTCAAGCCCTCCTCCGTTGCATAGACCCTCGTTGTACCCTCAAATTCAGCCCCACTCTCGACGTATGTGGGAGAAGCCTGGGTCTTGGCAGGTGCTGGCATACAACCCATCTTGTGATCACCAGTCCCCCCAGTGCCCCTTCACCAAAACCTGCTCTGGTCATCACAGCATCACTCTGGGGGGCGGGGTGTAGGTCTTGACCTTGGAGGAAGAGGAGGAAGGGTGCCACCGAAGCCTGACAGGGCTCTTGCTTGCAGAGCTCTAACAGCTGGCGAGACAGCAAACGACTAATCCATGCTCAGGAAGGCCCAGCCCCAGAGAGAGAGCTGCATGAGTCTAGATACCTGGGCAAAGCCTGGGGGCCTTCAGGGAAGGCTTCCAGGAGGAGGTGCCACCTGCCCTCCAGCTTGAATCATGGAGGGAAGAGCAAAGACATCCCAGGGGGCAGGGGTGTGAGGCGGCACTGTGAGTGTGCAGGGGGAAGTGAGATGAGGCCAGCAGGGCAGGGGCTGGGCTAGCGAGGTGGGCAGAGCAGGGCGGGGCTGGACCTGGTATGGCTGGGTGGAGAGCCACAGAAGGTTTGTTTGTTTTCAGCTTCCATTGAAGTATCATGTCCATGCAGAAAAGTGTGCCTATCCAAAGTGTAGCTTGACAGATTGTCACGAAATGAACACAGTCATGTAACCACCACACAGATGAAGAACATTCCAGGTGCCCTAGAACCCCCTGTGCGCCTCCTCCCAGTCCCTGCTTCCCCTCCAGGACAATGACTCCTAATTTCCAACAGCATGCTCTCCACCACCTATTGCTGCCTAACAATACAAACACCCCAAAACTTAGTGGCTTCAAACAAACCACCACCATTTATTATGTCTCCGAGTTCTGGGGTTTGCCTGGGCAGTCCCTCTGCTGGTTTCCCTTGGGCTCATGTGACTTTAGTCACCCGAAGGGCCGGCTGGACCAGAAGGTTGGCATTGGGCTCAGTCACATCTGGCAGTCAGTGCTGGCTGTTGGCTGGGTGGCCTCAGTTGTCCCCCCATTCTCCAGTAAAGGAGACTGGCCTCTGACAGGGCCAAGGCCATAAACAGTGTGCGCCTGAAGGCCTAGTCTCTGTAAGCCAGAAAATGTTCCTTTCACTAAATCCTATTGATCAAAACAAGTCTCAAGTGCAGCCCAGATCCAGTGGGTAGAGAATAGACTACCCCCCCCGCCCCCGCCGAAAGGAGTTACTGCTGCAAAGAATCTGTCACCATGTTTAGTCGACCACAAACACAGAGTAGTCTGCCTGTTCTTGACCTTTCTGTAAATGGGCCCCTTAAGTATGTTCTCTGTCGTGTCTGGCTTCTTTGGGTTGTTGGGTGTGTAAGATTTCTCTATCATTGGATCTAGTTGCAGATCCTTAGTCCTCATTGCTGTGTGGTATTTATTCCATTGTGTGGACACACCAGGTATCTATTCTATGGTTGATGGCCATCTGGGAGGCTTTTGGGGTTTTGGGCCCTTATGAATAACACTGCTCTGAACATTTCTAGTACACATCTTCGGGTGCTCCCATACACACGTATCTCTAGAAGTGGAATTGCTGGGTTGCTGATAGGCTGCAGGGTGGGAGATACTTCCAAACTAGTTTCTAAGGTGGTGACCAGTGCATGCCCCTCCAGCCGTGTTTGGGAAGCCGGCAAAGGCTTTGTGGAGGGGAGCAAGTGTCCTTGGGGCTTTTAGAAAGTCCCCCTGGCTGAAGATCTCTGACCCTGAGGCTCCCTGTAATGTCCCCAATGGGCCCACCTGGAGCCACAGGCCATCAGACCAGATGTAGGGTCTGGATGTAGGGCCATCAGACCAGATGGCCTCCCAGACCCCCAAGACTCAGAGAAGCTGGGTGCCTGCAGAACTGACACACGAGGATGCAGGAGCTGGAGGGGCTGCCATGGTGGCCTCCATCCGAGATAGTTCTGGGCAGTGGGCAGAGCAGTCCCCAGGGAGACTGGGGTCTACCTCTGACCTTGCCTCTCTCTTGCTGTGAGACCCTGGGAGGAAACCCTTTCCCCAGCAGGGCCTTGCTTTCTGCATTTGGGAATCAACAGAGAAGAGTATCAGCCTCACCAAGTCTCTTGCCTCTCCCCAACCTGAATGCTGTATTCTAGAATCTAACAGGGAAGGGCATCAGGAGGCCCTTGGAGAGCTCAGTGGGCTTCCTGATTTCAAGACACACATCAGGGGCGCCTGGGTGGCTCAGTCGGTTAAGCATCTGCCTTCGGCTTAGGTCATGATCCTGGGGTCCTGGGATTGAGCCCCATGTCGATCAGGCTCCCTGCTCAGTGGGGAGCCTGCTTCTCCCTCTGCCCCTCCCCCTGCTCACTCTCTCTCACTCTCTCAAATAAATAAATTTAAAATAAATAAATAAATAAAAAATAAATCTTCAAGACACACGTCAGTTGGCCAGTTTTATTCATCTTATTCACTGAACACCTTCACTGCACCATCCGTCTGTCCCTCATTTGTTTGTCCATCCATCCCTCCAACAGTCCCTGGCCTTGCTAGCCTCAGAGGAGAGGGATAAACTTGACCTCATTCCTGTGGTCCAGAAGCTCCGCCCAGGGAGGAGACCAGCCTCCAGAAAGCTGGAGAGGACACGGTCGGCCAGACCCCAAGCCCCCGGGGGGTGAACAAGGAAAGGAAGGGCCTGTACGGGAGGGCTCCATGGAGGCACTTGAGCAGCGTCTTGAAGGCCAGCAGGGCTCTGAAAGACAGAGCAGTGGGGCAGAGGGCTCGGGGCAGAGCACCAGCCATGTCCCAAGGCCGGGCGCCCGGGGCCCCGGGCCGGCTGCAGCACGGACATGTGTGTGTGTGCCCACGAGCTGCTGCTCTCAGAGCCCAGCTGCAGAGGGCCGGCCCTCGGTGCTGGGGCCCGGGCCGGGCCTCTAACACCAAGTTCAGGAGACAGGCCCTGGCTGGGGAGGTGGGGGGCAGCGTCCAGTTTCTGGGATGGCTCCACTTTGGGGGGGGGCCAGCTCAGCCTTCCAGGAGATGGCCAGCCGAGCCCGGGCAGGCAGGGCCCGGAGGTCAGTGGAGGAGGTGGGGGCCGCCCGCGAGGTTGGCTTGGAGCTCACTGTGCCCTCTGGTCTGTCCCGCAGGACTTGCAGTGCTGTGCTCGGCCCCGTCAGACCGCGGGGGCCGTCTCCTTCTTCCCACCTTGGCCTCCTTTTCCTGACGCCCTTAGCAGCCTCAAGTCCCGGTCGTCCACAGAGGCCTCAGCAGGTAAGCAGGACGGGCTGGCCCCTGGCGCTGTGCGTCTGCTGCCACGGGGCCGGGGGAGCGGGCAGCTGGGCTGCCATCACTGAGGAATGAGGGGACGGGGCTTATTTCTCAGTTTTCACTTCTTCCTTGGCCCCCCTCCTCTCCAGACAGTGGAGGGGGTTGTGTCCTGGCCTGGGACTTGGACGTTAGGTTTTATGCTATTGCCACGGCCCGTGTGGCCTTGGCAGGCCTGTCCCTCCCCGGCCCTCCCATCTGTACTTGAGAATAATAATGGCACTGTGTGCCAGGCACGGCGCTAAGTGCTGTGTGGTTATTGACTCTTTCCATCTGCACACCAACCTGTGAGGCAGGTGCTGGAATCAGGTCCATTATATAGGCAAAAAGACGGAGGCTTGTGGTTGGGAAGTAACTTGCCCAAGGTCACGTACCTGGCTGAGTCCCCATGGGGTTCACCTTTGGGTCGATGTGGCTCCGGTGCACCAGTCCCTAATCCTTGGACCATTCTGTCCCTGGCCGTGCCCACCTCTGCTAGCCTCCTCCGGGGGGCAGGAACTGAGGCAGTCACGGGGTCTTCAGAAGTGCCGGGTCCTAACCCAACTCATGGCAAAGGGAGGGGACTCTTACAAGGTGACAGGGGCCGCGGGGGCCTTGGACTGCGCCTCAGTTGTGGATGGGATGTGACATGAATCAGGCCTGGCTTCTGGGGCCCCTGAGGGGGGTACCTAGGGCCCCTTCTAGAGGAGGGGCATGTTGGCTGGATAAGGTTCTCTCTCCCTCTGCCTCCCTACTTCAGTTTCCCTAGCTTGTATTAAGCACTTACTGTATGCCAGGCCCAATGTCAGGCCCTAGGATACAGGGAACAGGGGCTCATCTCATTGTGGGCTCTGGCAGAGAAGCAGGGAGAGCACAACAGATGTTGTGCAAGCCACATACCAGCGCAGTGAAGTGTTGAGAGATTGGGGGGGTGCATTCTGGAGGAGGTAACCCAAAAGTGAGTAGCTTTGTAAGGAGACAGGAGCAGGGCATGGGTAGGAAACCCTGGCAGGACGGGGGATGAGGTTGGCAAGGGGATGGGAAGATCGTAAAGGGCCACAAATGCCAAAATGGAGAACTAGATCCCAAGGGCAGTGGGGAGCCGTGGGGGGTTCTAAGTGAGGTAGGGGCCTAATAAAGGGGGCTGCATCGGAGAGGCTGTTGGAAGGGCCCTGCTGGAAGCAGGGAGACCAGAGGGACTGTCCCAAGGGCACAGGAAGAAGTCAGGTGCCTCAGGCAGGGCCGGAACAATGGACACAGAGCAGGAGTGAAAACATAAGACACCAAGGTGGGGAAGTTGGCAGGACTGCAGTTGGCCAGGGTTGGGGGTGGGGCATGAGGGTGGGAAAGCTGCCCTGACGTGGGGTGAGGGGTAATGATAGAGCTCTGAGTGAGTATGGGGGAGTCCGGAGTCTAGGAAGGCTTCTTGGAGGTGGTGGGCCAGGTTGTGGTCCAGTGTGTCTCTGAGGGGGCCAAGATTTTCGTGAGGAGGAAGATGATTTGGGTGGTGTGATAGTTACACATGGGCATGATGTTCTCATCTACAAGTATTGATACACATATAAGTTCCAGAGGATTCGCCCAACCCACAGTCATACCTGTATCCATGTGCACACACACTCGTGCGCACAGACACGCACGTGCTTGTAAACCTGCCCATGCGTGCTAAGGGATACAGATGTGCATGCACACCCATGCACGAACAGTCACGTGTGCACAGACACGTGCGGCAATATATGGAGGAACACTCCCTCACATGCACATGTACACAGACATGGTTCGCACATGCTGCAAACATACACGTGTGCACACAGGTAGACGTGCACGCCTATACACACTCACACGCGTTTGCAGACTACCATGGTGACGCCCCACAGCAGGTAGGCACAAGCTCTTGCAGCGCACACAGTCCCACATACACACAGGCATGCGCTCCCGTGCACACACAAGGAGTGTTCCAGGAGGAGCTGTTCGGGGGTTGGCGGCTTCTCACCTGTCAGAGCTCCCATGGCACAGGGAGTCGTGGGTTCTGTCTGGTGTCGGGGGCTAGTCCGTGTGTGGGGAAGAAATTTAGGAGAGACCTCCAGGAGACAGGCAGGACAGGACAAGAGATTTGCCAGGTTGCTTTAGAGACACAAAGCAGACCGAACACAGAGCCCAGCTCTTGCAAAGTCTCAGAGAGGTGAAAGTTCCTTCACTGGCCCTGCCCCACTTCCCCACCAGTGTCCGTCAGAATCTACTAGAATCGGGACTGGCTACGTCATTTGTGGGGCCCAAGGCAAGACAAAAATGAGAGTCTCGTTGTTTACAGATGATTATGGATCCCAAGACGGTGACAGCAGAGCATCAAACCAGGAGAGGGTCCTTCTAAGCTTGGGGCCCCGTGCAGTTGCCCAAGAAGCCAGCTCTGCCCGAATGAAGCGTAGTGGTTGCGGGATTAAGTGCCAAGAACTGAGTTTGTGTGCAGTCTCCACCAGTAACTTACCAGCCCGGAGACCTTGGGCAAGTCCTCTTTCACCTCTGGGAGTCTTGTCTGCCAAGGAGAGAGACGTGCCCCTCCTCCCACAGTGCCGGCATCCATCTTGTCCCCAGCAGCCTGGGACAGTGGCTTCAGTTGGGGTGGGATTATAGCCCCTCTGTCAGGCAGTGGTGTCAAGCCTTCCCTGACCTTTGGCGGCCTGGTTTTCCTGTGCTTTGCCAAATCCACCAAGGGCAGAGGTGGTTGGGAGGGTCTGCTCTGTGTTTTATTTGCAGAGTCTTCTGCCTGATTGTCCTTTGCCTGCCCATCTCTGCGTGGCAGACTCACTCCTGTAGGTCAGATGCCATGGAGCCTTCTCTGACCCCCGCCTCTCCCGCCCGACCTTTGCCCTGAGACCCCTCCAGGAGCTACCATGACCTCTAGTACTGTAGACTTCTCTACCGTGTGCAGAGCTCTTTCACACCCCATCCCTCCACCGAACAAGCCCTTGAGAGGTCCTATCCTGTTCGCCAGATGGAAAACAGAGGCTCAGAGGTGCAGCCCCCACCCTAGCACCTGGCTGAGGGCAGGCCCACAGTAGGCAGCGGTGCGGGCAGTGGCAACAGAAGGAGGCCCCTGGGCTCTGCTCCAGGCCAGCTTCCCATTTCAGCATTCTGGAAGACTGGCTTTTCCCCCCGGTAAAGAGCTCCGGCCCCTAGCCCAGTAGAGACCCCAGAGGTGCCTGGGGTGCCGAAGAGGGCCTGGTGGAGCTGGATGTCTGGCCAGCTGGAATAGACCAAGCCCCAGCCCTGCTCCTCCCTGCGGGTGACTTGGCCCCGTTTCCGCAGCCAGGTGGCCTGCAGCCAGATGTATGTGGTTCCTAAGCTCGGGCGAGTCCCACATCAGGCAGAGAGGTGAGAAGGCCCCAGCTGGTCTGGGCCATAACAGCCCACAGAGACTAGACATAGAGAGAGGGTCTCTCATCAGGGGCATGACAGCTGGCCCCATGTGGCCGGCACCTTGGGAACAGCACCATAAACACCTTTGGTGGATGAATGCAGAAGGTACTGACGTGATCAAGGGTATAGACTCTGGGCCAAGGCTTCGGGGTTTTCCAGCTCTGCCACTCCTCTTTGTGACGCCAGATTAGTGGCTTGACCTATCTGTGCTTCATTTCCTCGTCATTAAAATCGGGATAATGATAGGACATACCTCACTGTGTTGTGAGGAATTCGGTCAACTAAGCCATGAGAATCTTGGCAACGGTGCCTAGCACGTGGTTTGCACCCCACAGCGTACAGATGGATGGTGGGCGGGCAGCTGGAGGAAGGCGGCAGAACGGACCCGAGTGCTGTGGGCACACGGAGGGGGAGCGCGGTGACATGGCTGGTGTCATTTAAGAAGAGATATAGGGAGACAGCAGGGTTGGGGTTGGGCTGGATTTGAGTTTCATGAGGTAATCACGGTTGTTGATCCCAGCTCTGTGGGCAGGGATGCGGGGTGACAGCCACACTCCCTGGCCAGCCCCTCCGGCCCCTGGTTTGTGACTTCGGGCTGCCAGCATGCACACCATCAGCTGTCAGTCAGCAGACTTCCAGGGTTCCATGGCGCAAGGCAGGCTTGGGGCTGGCTGCAAAGACCTTGACAGCGGGCCTGGCAGTGGCCACGCAGCGCTGCCGGCATTCCCGGGGCCCCATGTGGCATGCCTGTCCGTCTTCAGCACCAGCTGAGAATGCATACCCCGTTCTCCTTGCCTGGAATTTGTTGCCCGAAGCCCAGGCCCCTCCACCACCAGCCTGGGTAGCCTGCCCTGAGCCCACACCCCTCACCCCACCTGGAGCTGGAGATCATCTACAGCCCACTGATCATTCCTGCCCCAGGTGGGCCACTCTCTGGGTTGGCAGGACAGGGCTGCTAGACTTGGTTCGAACCTCAACCTGGCTGCACACCTGCTTTGTGACCTTGAACAAGTTGCTGCCCTTCTCTGAGCAGTTCTTTATGGTATGTAAAACCAGAACCGGTCAGGGTTCATAACCTGCAATGGTCTCAAGGGCCTCGACAGTCCAGTGATGCTGAGATTATCTTATTATACAGATAAGGAAACCCAAAGCACTAGAGAGGTTAGGAAGCATACCCAGGATCACAGAGCTATTGGTAGAGCTGGGATTCAGCCCAGTTTTATTTGACACCATACTATGTGTTTTCCCTACCACAGCAAACTGTCTGTGATAGGTACTTGCATGTTTCTGGGTGATCCATTCACTGTGCCAGCCAGAGTCTGCTGAACGTTTACCAGGCTCCGGTACCGTGCTAGGCACTGGTGGCCAAACCAGAATCTGCATTTGAGAAGCTCAGTGAGCACAGCCCTGGGCTTGGAAGTCCCAGAGTCTCCAATGTGGATCGTGCTAGCAGGGGGCCCTTGGCGAGTGAAGGCAGAAGGAGCTGGGAGGAGCAGCTCTTCCCTGACACTAGAGGAGGCGGGCAGGGGGGACTGCCTTGAGGAGGAGGC